GATGTGTTGTTGGAATATGTCCATCCGATATTGCTTTAACAATTGCCAATCAATTAAGAGTGTGGAAAATTCATGAAATTAATGATGTAATTATTTTCTGTGAAGATAATGTGTTTATTTTTTGGATGTTTCTAACCTGTTTATAATTTGATCAGATTCCAAAGCAACTTGAGATTGGGTATGTGCCCCTCTCTAATGGAGGACTATTTCCTGGTCTTTATTTATTCACGTCTCCCGCGCGAATGATGCGACCAGTCAAATATTTGGCGACTTCAAAAACTGATTTAATAGGTTCATTCGAACAGGTATGCTAAGTAGAAGTAGTAGTTGTTTTTTTATTATTATGATAACGATGATAGATTCCTAATTTTGATTCAGTAGTTCTTATTGGCTTTTTTTACTTTTATATTTATCCTAATCAGGTTTATATGAATATTGCTTGCCTGGATGAGGATATTATACCGGGAGTTACGACACACAAAGAAATTTCGCCGACCAATGTATTAAGTATTCTTGCAAATCTAACTCCATTTTCTGATCATAATCAAAGTCCTCGTAATATGTACCAATGTCAGGTTAGTTTACTGAGACTTTAATCTGGATTCTTTTGTGATTATCAACATCGATAATTAAATTTCAAATCACTTCAGATGGCTAAACAGACGATGGGCACTCCTTCCACAGCTCTAACATATCGAACTGATAACAAATTGTATCGATTGCAAACTGGTCAAACGCCCATTGCAAGGCCTGAGATTTACAATAAATACGGGTTGGATTCATTTGTAAATGGAACTAATGCAATAGTAGCTGTTCTTTCGTATACTGGTATTTATTAATCTATTATATCAAGTGGCACATTTCCTTTATCTCTGACTAACATTAATGATTGTGTTGTGTTTGTTTTTAATTTATAGGATATGACATGGAAGATGCCATGATAATTAATAGGCAATCGCATCATCGTGGATTTGCCTATGGTTTAATCTACAAATCAGAAGTTGTCGACCTTTCAGAGATAAGATCAAATATAACGTGTCATTTTTTCCTCGGTGACGACGTAGACGATGAAATAAGGAAGATATTGGACAGTGATGGGCTTCCTTTTATTGGAGCCCGATTAACGGAAGGTGATCCATTTTATGCATTTTTCGATGACATAAAGGGTGTAACTCGGGTGAAAAAATATAAAGGACCCGAAATTGCCTATGTCGATCAAGTTCGCTTATTCGGAGATGATTACGGTGAATCAGAAGCGCAAAAAGCACATATTAAATTGAGAATTCCTCGGCCGTCAATTATTGGTGATAAATTTTCTTCGAGACATGGACAGAAAGGTGTGTTGTCACAATTATGGCCACAATATGACATGCCATTCACTGAGAGTGGAATGCAACCAGACATTATTATAAATCCACATGCGTTTCCTTCTCGCATGACAATTGGTATGTTTGTGGAAAGTTTAGCTGGGAAAGCTGGCGCGTTACATGGTATTGCACAAGATGCGACCCCTTTCAAATTCAACGAAGAAAACGCCGCAATGGATTATTTTGGCAAACAGCTGCTTAGTGCCGGTTACAGTTACCATGGAAATGAACCAATGTATAGTGGAATCACAGGAGAAGAGTTTCATGCTGATATTTATATTGGTGTGGTATTTTATCAGAGATTACGTCATATGGTGTCAGATAAGTGGCAAGTTCGGTCTACTGGTCCGGTACATAATCTTACCTTGCAACCGATTGGCGGACGAACACGGCAAGGTGGTGTAAGGTTTGGTGAAATGGAACGTGATTCGTTGTTGGCACATGGAATGAGTTTTTGTCTACAAGATAGGTTGATGAATTGTTCTGATTATTCACAGGTAAATTTTTATCTTTATTCCATTTTTTTTTGATTAGGACATAACAATAGAGAATAGGCTGACGTCTTTGTTTATCAACAGTGTTTAATATGTCAAAAATGTGGCTCAATATTCTCGCCTATATCATTACACCATCAAACTCAAAATCAAAGACGCACAAAACATCATGTACGATGCGTTCTTTGCGATTCGTCAAACTATATTGTTCACATAAAAATACCGTTTGCCTTCAAATATCTTGCAACGGAATTGATGTGTATGGGAGTTAAGATGACGCTGGAAACAAAGCCATAAAATGGACGACTCGACGAATTTTCATTGTCACAGGATTATCTACATTTGTGTAACCGATAAAGTCTCGATTGTGATAAAATTTTCGTTGAATTATGGTTACATTAAAGTTACAAACTACCGTCTTTGATTATATAATTATTATCAAGTTAAATTCAGTTAGATAATTTGCTTTGTTTGTTTATTAATGACAAATTTGAGATGCTTGAGTAATTTTTGACTAATATTATTGAAGTTTTGTTAATTTGTTGATTTCCTTTGAATAAAAATCTTATTGATTTTTTAATAAAACATAAAAAATGTAAGGAAATCACTTATCAATATTATTCCTAAATAAATCTGCTTCAAACTGAATTAGATCTAATATGTACATTTACATATTTCAAAAAACAAAATCAGATGAAAATATCAAAAATTGCAATTTAAGTTTTGCTAGAGATTATAATGTCAGAAACTGTATAAGCAAACATATGAAGCCTCATCAATTTTCCAGCTCTATTGATTACAGAAAATCAATTATTAGATTTTCCATTCTTAATTATAAAATGCACTACTCAAACCAGTATTCAGAATTCCAATACCAGTATGAAACCAAACTCTTATATTCAGCGCGACGGTTGTCGCGCATAGTGGAGAGTATGTTGACAGTCATCCAAAAACGGGAATCTCTCTTGACTGTGAAAACTTATTTGTCAAAATCAAGTGATTTGGATTCTCGCGACATAATTGATGATCTTTCTTTTAATGTGGATTCTTGATTAGTGGGAAAATTTGCTTAGATTAGCATGGGTAAAAATTGATATTTTTATATCAAGGCTTCTTTGATATAGTGAATGATAATAAAAAAAATGGATAATAAAACGAACAATCAACATGTGTTAATCAGCAATATGTCTTGCCAATTCTAACTTGAAACAGCAGAATCACCAGCCAAAGGAGATTCTTGTTGGGATTGATCTGACACATCTATTATTATAGGCGCGTACTCTCCTTCCTCCTCTTCATCGTCAGCCCCAACTTCAATTCTTACGGCAGAATCAATCATTTCCCATTTGAATTTGCGATTGAGAAATGTTCTTATTTTCTCGAATTTTCGTTTTAGGGTTCCTAATTCGGGGGACCGATTTGTCGATGATAAGTCTAGCAAATTGCGCCGAAAAGTCTTGGTATGCCAATAACATAAATATTAATAATTTAAAAATATGTTAATAGTAAGTTGTAATAAAGAGAGGATGGACCTTGAGCATATGAGCTAAGAAGTTATTTTCTGAAATCACATCACGAAAAAAGTCATCAGAGCATTCTTCCAATTGATGTCTTAGTATATCTCAAAACAGAAAAAACATAATTTAGTAAATTTTAATCACCATTACATCCCAATTACCATTGATGATTGTATATACATACCAAGAAATTCGACAAATAAATTGTCTGCATAAGTTAACAAAACTTCGCGACAACCACATAAAAGATGAATTAAATTCTTCCATTGCACGAAACCAGCATAATTCTGCCCAAGTAATAAACAAACAAATGCCAGTTGCAATTCACCAAGCAATTCTTTGTAATCTGAGATGATGATAACGATGATGATGATGATGATGATGAAGAATCTGCAAATATTATGTAAAATAATAATTTCTTTCAAACAAAAGTAAAACACACCATCACGATAAATTTTCGATAAAAGTTCCGATAATAGCCAACTTTTGTCTTGACTATATTTGGTCACTTCTGGACCAAATGCACCTGGTCGCCAACTTCTTTTCAAATCAAACTTTGTGAACATTATTGTATCATTGACAGATTCTTCTTGTTGATATTGTTGTTTATTTCCTTTTTCTTTCCCACGTATATCTTGAAGTTCTTCTTCATCCACGGTGGATGATGAAATATTGTTGAGTCTTCCTTGATCTGGTAATATGCGAGACACTAACGAGGGAGTAACATGATCAGTGAGATTGTGCCATTTTTGGTACGTGTTTAAAGGGTACGCGCCTAAATATTGATCAAGTTGACGCATGTCTAAATTGATTCAATTTAATCATTAACTCGAATTGACATAAGAAAGTGATGTGAAACAAAAGAAAGCAATGGAGAAAATACCGGATTTTATTCGTTCATTTTGTTCTTGATCAAGTTCCGAGTCTTCTTTCAGATCTTCCTTTATCTTATCCCATTCTTTAATAACAACCTAGAAAATAATGATACAATCTTTAGGCTTCCCAATACAACAACTGATATGTAGGTTATTAAATGGTTTCTAAAGTAAAAGTCAACACATCCCTCCTTTTTCTCATAATATCTGAAAAAACCACTTCTTATGCCTGAAGCAGCAGTGGAAGTGTCAGTCACACTAACATGGAACCAGGCAGGAACCAAGAAATAATGTTAGAATTCTTTAATAATGAAAGCAATTACTGTATTAATTATCTTGATTTTACCTGTAATAGACAAAATGCAGACCTGGGGGAATCAATTTAACACCCAAGAACTTTGGCCCAATCTGCCAGGAATTATAATCTATACCAAACTTATGAAAAAGGAAGGGAAAAATAGTGTTTTGTCGTATTTAAATAATAACACGACAGGGAGGTCATCTTAACCAAGCTTTTTTATTCAAAATGCTTTACCTCCAAACCTGGAGGTGCATTCAAAAAAAGTAGGAACGCGCCTTTGTCAAATAAGGCTTTAGCAAGATCTTGATCCATCTTAGTCAAGCAACAAGTTTAATAAATAATTACGAAATTTTATTTTTCAATTTCTAAATCTTTCGTTAACATTATAAATATTTCAGATAATTTGAAATGAATGATTTTCTCAAGTACAAAAAACCCAGCCAACACTTCTAATTAAAGTTAACCGATTAATATCCAAACTTGTCATTCAACGCTGTTCTTCCATCTCCTAAATAAATTCAACAGCGAACTGTTCAATCGCTAATTTATTATATTACTTGCAATTTATTATATAAAGATTAAAAGCACATGCCTATTTGTCCTTTAGGAGGCTCCCAAGCAGTTATTTCCTCTTCGTCTTCAAGTTCGTTTTGTTCTATTGCTTTTCTCTCCTGCTCCTCATATTCTTGCGGTGTCATTGGAACCATCACTCTAGCTCTCTTCTCTTTTGCCGAGTATAGATTAGGAGCTTCCTTTGTTGCTGATTTGTCTATTATTAGGTCTGGTGGTATAGTCGTCATGTCTTCGGATTCTTCTAATAATGGGTTTGGTGTCAATTTTTTTATCCTCCTTATTTGTGGTATTGTTGTTTTTATAGTCTCATCATCTTCCGTTATTACATGACTATTGGAGATATTAAGAGCCGGTTTTTTATTTGTTTGTATTGATGGTTCCTATTACATATATAAATGTCAGAAAATTTTAATGAGAATATTTACGCAAATTAGAATATTACCTCCTTTTCCGGTTGATGACTAAAGATATATCAAAATATGTGGAGAATAAATATTGCAGGGTTAAATTATTATGATAAATATATAGTGATGATTAGACAAACCTTATAATATTAGTTTTGATCGATGGTATCGACTTATTTCCCAATATATCGGGCGGCTTCGTGATCTCAATAAGTCTTGTAAGTCGTTGACTTTGCTATAGTAAAATAAAAGATCATATCAGTATACTTAATATTGGATATTATTACTAACATAAGAGAGAGCTCATGCAAGATGTTTACATAGAACCTTAATTAACAACTGTAGAGAAGTTTTTAGTTCCATTGTGGATGCACCAGTTATACTATTTTGCAATTCATTCATATAAATATCCAGTTCATCACCATTTGCTGATTTTTGCTTAGATTCTATTGTCAAAGGAAAGATTATTAAGATCAGAAAATAAAGGATTTTCTTAAAGAATAAATAATAGAAAATTTTTAAAATAAATTTTACCTTCTTCAACCTCAGATATCCTGCATCGAAGCTCTTCAATTTGAATCTCCACTTCCTGTTTTTGGTTAATTAAAGATTCATAAGTTTCAACTTTTTGAGGAACCATCTTTTGTGACTTCCGCATCTTTTTTCGCTCGCCTATATATAAACAAGAAAAATATCAGTGAAAATAATAATACAATCTTTTCAATAATAGGAAAATGCATTACGTACTTATATCAGTTCTATCATAAAAAGAATCTTTATCATCATCGTCCTTATCCAATAACTCACGAAGTCGTTTTTTTCTAGCGGCTACATTTTAACAACAATGTAAAAATCGTTGCGTTCTTAACTATTCAGAATAATTATTATACCTGTTTCTTCAACACCACCACGTAATATCCCATGCATATCTAATTTTTCGCACGCGTCTATAGCTGCTTGCCTCTCGGCATCTCTGTATAATGTAAATTTTTATCCGTCTTATGTTAATTAACAGCCAAGTGATGATATATAATCTATATAACAATTGCAACCTTTTTTTGGCGCTACTTCCTATACCATAAACTGGACCAAATGCATCCTCTACTTCAGGTAATTGAATCCTAATATTAAGAAGAGTAATAGTTAAGTCCTTTATTATGGAAATGTATTATGACAAATGAAATTAAGGATGCCTTGTAAATACCTAGCAGTGAAAGTTCGTGAATGTATTGGACCTTCCTCTTCTATTTCAAACTCCATATCATAACCCCGATTCTTGAATTATTAAAGTGCTATGTTAACTAACATATATCGCGTAAAAATTAAAAAAAAAATACGAATACACACATCCAACCAATTGCGCAATGCTTTTTTCGGATCTTTATAATAATATGCATTCTCATCTCTTTTCCAAGTTTCCGCACTAACTAGCTCTCCAACCTCCTTCTCAACATCAGCGTCTTCAGAGAAACCCCTATGTAAGATTTGTATTTAATATTTGGTCATAATTCATATAAGTAAAATACAGAATAAATTTTCTTTTTGATAAACTCTACCAAGTAACCCCGGTATTTACTGAAACCACATTTTTTTGTGTATAGTTGGTTGTATTAGGCGGACCTGCTGATAAAAATTGCTCTTCTTGATCATCATCAATCTCCTCTTCTTGTTGCTCTCCTTCTTCTTGCTCCTCCACTTCCTTTTCCTCCCCTTGCAAGATATATATGCGTGAACTTTCACCAAATCGAATTTGATCTCCAACGCGAAGCCGCATGTATGTTTGTGGTGATATTGGTACTCGATTCAGTATGGTACCATGAGCACTATTCATGTCGTATAAAAAACTATGCCCTATGTTAAATAGATTTAGAATTTTTGCTAATCGGTGTGTAATGAGATCAAGTCATCATAATCTTATAACCTTACCACTTTCATTGAATTGTATTATGGCATGATATCTGGAGATTGACTATTAATTAAAGTTTCGTATATTAATAATCATTTTAACAAGAAATCAAAAAAATAAATAATAAAAGTAATAATATACCGCATGCTCCATTGAAATGTCACATGTTGGTAAACGTCCTTAATTATCATACAAAATACATGTTAACTTCAAATAAGTTACTATGTAAAGAGCAACAAAGAAGAACTTACCAAGTACTATAAAATCTTTAAAAGGCAACTCAATAATTTCCAATGATACACCGCCCTTTATCACTTCAAACGAAAAGGTTCCTTGAGGTAAGCCACTCCACGAAGGTTTCTCATATGTGAGCGAGGGTGGCGGTAGAGGAGCTTCAGGTAATACTGGTTCGGGTGCTGTTTGGATTTTAGTTATATTTAATCCAAAAAAAACCATATAAATGAATAAAAATAATGTGATTTTGATAGTTAACTGGGTGGATCCGAAGGCACATTGAAGCGAACTGATTTTTTTGTTTTGTTGATTGGCTGTTGTTCTTGTTCCATGAGTCAAAGAAAAAGTTATCCTAAATTTTTTTGATATTGCTAATCACCCAATCAGATTTAAATAATGTAGAATTCGTGCAACAATTTTTCTAACGGTAAGTTCAATAAAAATCTAACTAAAATCTATGTCAGCCAAAAAAAAATGACTGCACCAACTAAAAGAAACATTAATGAAGGTAACGAAGGGAGTGATAATTTTTCACAGAGGCGCCAAAGAGAATCGAATCCCTGTCATAATAATAGCAATTTTACTAGAGATATGAAGTCAGGTAAAGATTCAATAGCTGACATTAATACTTGCGAGAATGTTGTAATTTAACGTTGTTGGTTGCATTATGAAAAAACTATAATATCTATTCAATTTTATCATTCTTCTCAATTTACATATGACATTTAACTGGTAAAACTCATATAATACTTGGAAACAGAGCAGGATAATGAAATCGAAGTTATTGCTGGTAGCTCGGTGCAAGCAAATCATGTTGAAACATCATCAACACCTACTAATACGGAAAGCAACTGGTCAGACGAAGTAGTTAATTCCGAGGATAGTCAAAGCAACCTCAATGGCTCTCGAGTCAATAAGCGCAATGTCGATTACTTCAGATCGGAGAGTCAAATGTCTTCAGAGGAATTCGACAGATATCAGCAATATGCAATAAAGCAGTGGTGCAAGAAAATCGATGCTAAGCCTATAGAAGATGTTCAAACACAACTACGAAGTAAAGAAGCAAAAAATTTATATGATGATAATGAATCCAGCGACTCGAATAGTGTACCGGACAATGACCCTGTAAACAGCGATGACGAATATTCGTCGGATAGTTCTTTTGGTTCAGCAGAGTTAACATATAACTCAAAAATAATATTCAATCAATGCGTCAGTGGGGATCTTTTATATTGGACAAATCCGGACGGTTCGGCTAACCCGTTGCCAATTCCAGCTACTCTCCCCATGCAATTTAAATATGGTGAAGATATAGTAATCGACGTCATTAATGAAGACAGCCTAACATATCCAGAAGATAACAAAGTTACAACTTTCCTCAAAAATCTCATCAAGGCACCTAGTAAAACTTGGTTAAAAAAATTCTCTAGCGAGTCAAATTCAATATTCAAAAGTTATAATGGCTTAAAATGGAAAACGATTGAGATCATATTCAGAATATTGTCATCACATAAAGTATTTCGCCGAAAAGAAATTCGAAATTCAGAAGAGGTTGATAAAATAATGCTCGCTTTTCATCGTTGTTCGTGGTCCGGCAAGACTATCGGTTATTTACGGTCTTATGTGAACAGTTTGGACCAAATTTTGGATCTTGTCAATACCTTTGAAGCAATATGTAAATACAAAACTTGCTATGGTGCTCGCTTGCCTGTCAGTGAGATCGAGCGGCAATTCTATAATGTCACACGGGATATGGAGAATGATGAGAAGATGTATGAAAGAACCAAAATACAAGGAATAATGCAAAGGATTAGACTGTACCAACAAACCTCAGGATCGTTGGAGCCTTACTACGCAAGATCAAACAATTCTCAACAAGTGATTCCAGAGTGGGCCAAACAAATACGTAAAAACAAAGAGTATCTACCCTTGGTTCCAACTGTTGATGAGCTTTTTAAAAGATTTCAGAGTAAAAATGATTGGCCGGATGTAGAAAACATTATATGGTCTTCAGAAATGAGCGACATTTACAAATACATTCATTACTGTGCATTAAGACGACAATATTTAGAACCCTTGCAACGTGTAATCTCAAACTGGGTGGATGCTTTCTCTGTTAAGGATCATAGATTTAAAATGGGCAATATTAACGATGTATTTTTTAAAGATGTCAGATTTGACAATGCATATATACACAAAAGTGGACAACTAATTATAAGGCTAAGATTACATCCAAATAATGAAATAGACTGGACTCGCGGAGAAAATTTATTACCAGGATCATTCGTCATCCTCACGAGGGTCACAAAACTAAAGTATCCTGAGCAAACTGGCTTTCCAGTCAACAAAAAAACTACAGTCTATGGGACAATAGTAGAGTTTGATTTTAAAGGTAGAACTTTATCTAATAGTCCATTAATTGGACTTTGCTTAGATCTAGAACAATTAATCATCTTCGACCCAAGCGCTTCGTATGTTATGTTCGCATCCAAATATTACTATCCAATCATTAAATCGAGCTTGGAATGGATGAAAGACGAAACGCCCATTACGACTTTGATTCCTTTGGGCGAAGATATTTTGAAGTGCTCTAAAGCAAGCTCTCCACCCAATTATTTAACTGATACGAAAATAAATCTGCATCAGATTCTGAAAAAGGGCGTTAAAGTTCCAAAAGTCTCAGCCACTGGTAACTGGCCACCATATTCAGATGCAATGAATTCTCCTTATACAGTAGATTTTACAGAATGGAATGCATTAAAGCATTTATTTCTGAATAAAATTTCAGTCACTATTACGCCTATTGGTAATAATTTATTTAATTTAGCTTATTATTCATAGTCTAGTAAATTTTTCTTTGCTTAAAAATAATTTCTTGATAAATAGGGACTCCTCAAGAAGAATTTGTCACCAATTCCATAGAGATGATAAGTCAAATAATCAAAGATCGATCTTTTCATGAACCGATAATACTTATTACTCAAAGCATGCAATCATTAGATCAAATTCTTGACAAGGTAATCGCGTTCATCCCCGACTTGATTAGATGCGGACCATCAGATAAATGTCTTGAGAGCTTAAGACATCGTCAGATCAACACCTTGATGGAGCAATATTCTCCAAAGAATGCCAAATATAGCAAATCATTTTTCTCTGTCAAGTCTCAGCTTAGGAAACTCGAAATTGATCTGGAAAATTTACTAAATGTACGAATGAGACTTTCAGGAGACGATGCTTTTGTCAATAATACTCCTGAGGACATACGTAAGCAATTACAAGTGGAAAAAAACAATTTATTGCGAGGATGGCTTAATGGATATGGACAAGAACAATCATTGACAGCTAATATTCAAGATCCTTTGGACGATCCTTTGGTAACTAATAAAACGCCTAACATCGAAGAGCGAATATTTCATGGGATGGCGTTTATCAATGAAGAAGAGCGCGATAATTTCAGGATATGGACGCGGAGTGATCAAAATTTTTCACATTCTATTCCACCATCTCTCATAAGGAAAATCCCGCTAATATGGGAAGAGAATCTGCCAGCATCGAAAAACATTTGGGATCTGTCGAAAGAATTAAGGCAGAATATATACCAAAAATATGAAGAAGAGTTTGCCGGTTATTTGAGTAGTGAAATAAAAAAAATACTCAGAGAGATTGCAAGCTTACAAAAAAATATTGAAGAAATCAATATCTCTCGTTGGCTTGGAACTTGTAGATATTCGTCTCTGATTGGAATGACAGTAGCATATGCATCAAAGCACCATAATCTCCTTAAAGAACTTCAGCCACGAGTAATAATTGTTAACGAAGCTTCAGAAATACCAGAAGCCACATTAATGCCTTGCATTTCGTCATCCAATTTACAGCATCTTGTTCTTGTTGGAGACTATTTTTGTCACAAATCCGAATTAAGAACTATAACAGAAAAAAACAATATTTCCTTATTAGAAAGATGGATTTTGCGTGGGGCTCCACACCAAATTATTTCGAGACAATCAAAAATTCATCCCGACATCTATAGTATTGTACGCGACCTGTACAAATTTTCAAGCCCACTTAATTTTCAATTGACAATCGAGGATATTCCTGAGATACAACAAGAACTTACTCACGTACCTGGAATGAATTCTAACGTACACTTTCTCACTCATGACGAATTCGACAAAACTAGTGAATCACTGAACATGACCAATACTTATGAAGCCGAATTTGTCGCTCGTTTTTTGTTGCACTTATCTTATCAAGAAATTAACCTTTGTGATGATGTTACAATATTGACACCATACACAGCACAAAAGCAGTTAATATGGCGTAAATTAGATCCGTCACTAAAGGAAGATTTCGAATATGGTGACTTGAAACTTGGAAAAGCTAAAGTATTCACAATTGATGAGTTTGAGGAGAGTCAAGCACGGATTGTTATAGTTTCACTTGCTACACCTTCTCCCGAATTCAGAAAGGAATGGACAAATTTCTTAAGTGTGGGTTCACGCGTAAAACGTATCATATCTTCTGCTAAAAACGGTTTGTATATTTTCGGTAACGGTAACGCATTAATGGAAAGTAAGCTTTGGAAGATTGTTATTCAAAGCCTCCAAACTAAAGGTATCTTTATTATAATTTACTTTAAAAGATTTACATTGCATTTTTTTTTATTATTAATAAATTTATTTATTATTAAGGAAACTACGGCAAATTTCTGCGCACTACTTGTACACGCCATCCAACCGACTCGTCAGAAATTATGTCAGCTAAAGATTTTGACAAATATGTGCCAGATGGCGGTTGCCTTGTAAGTTTTATTCATTACACTATTGTTTTACCACTTGTTTTTTTTAAATTAAAAAAATTAAATTCCTTATGCTTGATTTAAATTGTAGATGCCTTGCCCATATGTACTTGCGTGTGGGCATTCAAATTGTCCGCTTAAATGTCACCCCCTTCACCACGCAATGGAATATCGCCAAAAGGTAAAAATAAAAGTTGATTAAGTATTAATTTTTGAATCATTTATTTTATCTTTTTCTTCTATTCCAAAGTATATATGCAAAGAACAATGCGAACGAGATCGGCCAGATGGTTGCAATCATAAATGTCCGCGCAAATGTTACTTATGCAAAGAATACCGGGAATGCCCACCTTGTAGAGCTCTAGTTAGTTTAAAATTACCTTGTGGGCATGTCAAGGATATGCCATGTGGAGAGCAACCAGAAAATATTGAACAAATAATATGCAATGTAAAAGTAGATATCACTAGAAGATGTGGACACACCGCGTCGACACTATGTCACATAAAAACTCACGGTGATCCGGAACTGGGATTGTTTCCATGTCAGGAAATATTAAAATATAAAGTCCCAACATGCGGCCATGAGTTTGAAACATTTTGTTCTCAATTTAATGAAGATGGAAGCCATAATTGCATCTATATGTGTGATGTAAAATTGCCTTGTGGTCACAGTTGCGACAAAATGTGTGGAACGGAACACACACATAACCGTGAAGATTGCTCTTTTTCATGTCCTAAAAGGTTAATATGCGGACACAATTGTACCAATGGATGCAAGAACCCCGAAGAACATACGACAGAGTGCCAAGAACCCTGTCGAAAAATCTGTTCACATCAAAAACTCTGTTACCGTAAATGCTACGAAGAATGCGTCTTTTGTCGTTCACCTTGTCAATGGCGATGCGAGCATATTCAATGCACTAAAAGATGTGACGATGTATGTGATCGGCCTCCATGTAATGAACCATGCACGAAAGAACTTTCTTGCGGGTAAGCATTTCCACTATCGCTATTTTAATGTTAGTAATATAATTAATTGTACATTTCTTATTAGACATCCTTGCAAAGGATTATGCGGAGAGCAATGTCCTCCTTGCATTCAATGTAACCCTGATTTAGTATGTTCGATTACTTTAACTTACCTAAGTGATCTTGACGAAGATGATAAAATATATCAAATTCCAGATTGCGGATGTGGTGAGTTTTTTTAGTCTTCTATGAATTATGAAATACAATTTTTTTCTATATATACTTTATTGATTTTTTTATAGTCTTTGACGTAGAAGCATTAGATTCTTATTTCAAAAACGATGCCACAAATAGTAAGTTATAAATTTAATTATTTTATTTTAAATAATTTAATATTAAGTTTTTTGATTTATTAGATGGACATGCTGTTATAAAATTATGGCAATGCCCCCGCTGTTCTGAGCAAATTCTTAGGACACCAAGATACTATCCGTATATTAAACGACAACTTAACTTGTGGAATAAAGTAAAAATTGAACTGATTAAAAAGAGAAAGAAAGAACGAGAAGCAGCAATACAGGCTCTTCGTGAAAAACAAGAAATACAACGAGCAATGGACGCAGAAACTAGGCAAGAAGCTCCATGGAGTCTTGTAGGTGGTCGATGGTTTGCCTGCCCAAATGGTCACCCATATTACATTGGCAGCTGCGGCGGTGCAATGGAAATCTCGACATGTCCCGAGTGTAAGTTTTCACTTGATTTTTCATTTGAACTATTGCTTATTCTCTTAATATTTTATTCGATATTAGGCAAAGCACAAATTGGTGGTACCAAACATAAAATTGTAAAAGGGAATCGATTCTTTGGAGAATTTGATGGAAAAGCTGATCCTGCTTGGCCACAGCAAGAACAAGATAACAATGAGGACAATGACGATGACGAATAATTCTCACATCTGTCTTGGTTAAGCACGATGAATAATTAATTTTGAATGAATATAAACAACAAATTTAATTAGCTATAAATTTTTATATTAGAATGTACATACACTTGCGTATTTGCTTGTAAATAAATTTAATTTCCGTTAAGCCAAATTTATATATATAGTAATTAATAGATTATAATTTTGAGAAACTTCGGCTTGCTTTCTTTGTATTATAAACATGAGTTAATTTTGATCATGATAATTAAATATATTAAAATTAATCACATATATACATCTATATTTTATAATTATATTTAATAATAAGTTTGATATATAGTTATAAAAGAATATTGGATTTACTAACAAGAAATAAATAAGAGATCTAGTATCTTTATTATTTTATTTATTATAAGAAATCTTGAAATTAGAAAATTTAAAATATATTTAATATTTATAATTATATTATTAGATTATTATTAGCTAAGAATATAAAAAAATTTTACTAACTTCTTTTATAACTTACTATTCTTATAATGGACTTTGTAATGAATCAAAAAGTCTAAAGCTGCTGAATTATTAATCTATTTCTCAAGCTTTCAAGATAATATTTACTTAAAGAATAAATTTAAATAAAATAATAAAAGATTTAAAAAAAGTAATACTAATTATACTAAAAGAAGATCAAATTAATATTATATTAATCTTTGATAATTAGACTAATATTTAGAATAATTATTTATTAGAAGTAATAATAATTATATCTAATAATAAATTATATATATAAAAATAATAAATATAAATTTTAAATATGAAATATATTTTATTATCTTTTTGATACAGAATTTACTTCAGATATAAATATGATTCTTAAACTATTAAAAATATATATTTTTATTAAGAATTATTATATTAAAAGAGATATTAACAAGAATATATTCTTCTATTAAGATTTATCAAAGATTTATTTTAAAGATAAATAATGATAATATTTATAATATGATTAATTAAAATGTAATTTAATTCCAAATTATAATTTAATAAAGATATAAAAATCAGTTTATTAACAAGATGAAATAATAAATCTTAATTAAGATCTTTTCTATAAGAAATATTTCTTAAAATTTTCTTTTAACTATAATTTACTAAAATATAATTTGAGAACTAAATTTATAAAACTCAAATCTAAAGAATACTAAATTATAGAATTACAAAATTATTCTTTTTTACTAACTAAGATATATTACTTTTATATATTTTAGAGATTCTACAAATGATATTTTTGTCATAATACTTATATTATTTTTATTACAATTTAAATATTACTTCAGTTAATATCATAATATTAATTTTATTATGATAGTATTACTAGTTTTATTATAATAGTTTTACTAACTTTACTATAATAATTTTGTCATAATTATTATATTTATAAAATTATTTATAAATATTTGTAAATAATATTTTCTTAAACTAATATTTAATAAAATATAAGTAATTAATTATCTAATTATATTTTGATATAAAATAACTAGTAATAAATAATTAATTAATATTCTATTAAAAAATTTATATTATAACAGGATTCTTATATTAGTATTTTACTTTATAAAATTCAAAGCTAAATACCAAGTTTCTATAAGACTTAATAATTCTTTAAAATTATTATTTATTATTCTTTTAAGTTTTATCAAAAATAACTTTCTCAAACTTAAAATAAACTATTTTAAAATATATTAAAATAGTTTATTAGTTTTATTAGTAATTTTCTAATATCAGAATAATATATTTTTAGTTATAATATTATGAAGTTTATTATAGAGAAATAATTTTTCTCTTATTAAGTCTGTATATATTATAATATTAATTATTTCTTGATCTGTTCAAAATATATTAAAATTAAAATTTTTATTTTATAAACTTGTGATTATTATCTCTAAAGCAATATTAACTAAAGTAATTTTTGCTTTTAAGTTGTGAGTTAGTAATATTTGAAGAGTTTTAATGAAAAATTCAAATAAAATTTATTAATAATTTGAATAAGAGAGATATTTATAATAAAATATTATTTTATAAATAAATATAATATAGAATAAATATACTAAATTAAATAAATATATATTATAATTAGATAGAATTACAAAAAGTTTAGATTAATATATTTTTCAAATAAGTTATAAAAATAGAAATCTTTCAAATTACTAATTTTTATATCTAATTTTTATACTATAATATATAATTTTATAATTTAAATTATGTTATTACTAATTTAAAAGTTAATATAATCTTATATTATGTCAGATAATTATTTAATTATATAATTTCTATTAGTACTTCTCAAATTAATTTATATATTATTTTAATTATCTAATTTATAATTAATTCTATTTTTTTATATTTATAGTTAAATTATACTTTTTTATTATTTATTTCATAATTAATAATAATATAATTTCTTTCTGAATTTTATTAAACTTGTGAATATAAAAATAAAATTTTATAATTAATAACTATTCTTGCTTTATCTTTAATATTATAAGATAAGTTAATTTTATTATTTATTTAAAAGATAATATTTTCATTATTATTTTTTTTGAAATATTATTATAATATAATAAAGAATGATAGTATTAACTTTTCTTTTACTTTTCTTGAAACTTAAAATTTTAAGAATTGAAAAAAGTAAAAGAAAGTTGTAATATTATATTATTATATTTTTTTATTTTTATTATTTTAATTATTAAATAATATTGAAAGAATACTTATTATATTTTATTCAAGAATATTAATAATTTTATTATTATTTTCACTTATTTCTTGAATTATAAGTAAGTTATTTTTATAATTAATAATCAGTAAGTTAAATAACTTTGTATTTTAAATATTAATTAGTTCTAATATTTTTAAAATTGAATTATAATTATTAGAATTAAAATTATATATTTTAATTAATAAAATTAAACTTTTTGAATATTATAAGAAATAAGAAAGAAATTCTTCTTCTTTCAATTTAATATATTTTTAAAAAGATATAAAAAAATATAATTCTTCATTTTCATTCTAATAATATTTAAAATAAGTAGTAAAATAAGAAACTTTTTATTTTTTTATATCTAAAAATAAAACTTCTTTTTTTTAAAAATTAATTTATAATAAAAGAATAATTTTTACTTTATTTTCTTTTATAAAAATAATAATAAATTTTTTATTTTTATTATTAATGAAGTATAATTTATAATTTTTATAATTTATTTTTTTCTATTTTTATATTAATAATAAAAATAATTTTTTAAACTATACTAATAATTTTGATATTATTATTCTAAGTAATCTTTAGTTAAAATAATTTTTTTAATTTTTAAGTACTAATAATATTGATAACTAATATAAAGAGAATTATTTTAATATTTAAAATTATAGATGTATAATACTTTATAAAATTGATTATAAGAGATATATTTTAGATAATAATTCTATTAGTAAATTTGATAGATATCAGATCAGTAATGATTAGTAAATATACTGATTATTACTGATTTTTTGATTATACTGATCCAAAATTTATGCAAAATAGAAATTTTAGAGAAGTATAATTCAAAAAAACTATAATAATTAGCATAATTACAGATTATTATAGTTCTTTAAACATAAATTAAATAGATAAATAATAAATAGATTGATTATATGCATTATTATTTATTTTTTTTCTTTAAAGTTTACTATAAGTGCAAATTTGACTTTAAAATTCTTTGCTTATTAGTTTTTTAAAATATATATTTATTTAACAAAAAAATATTTTTCAAATCTTGATATAATATATATCTCTTGATCTATAAATTCTATTAAAATTATATTATACTCTTTAATATAGTATAGATGAGGACAACCATACTTTTCTAGCTCATTTGGCATAATATCATACTAATAAACTATAGTAAGATTATATAGATTCTTTGCTAATTCTCAAAAAAATTATAGAAAGAATAGTACCTTTTGGAAGAAAATATAAAGATTAATTCATTCAAAATTACTAAATTTGAAATTACATTTTATTATTCTTCAAGTTATATTTATTTTTCCATCTTTATCTGATCTATAATAGCTTTGATCTTTAACTAAAGTTATTATAATATTATTAAATCACTTTTGTCATAAAAATTTCTAGATATTCTCAGAATTTTATCACTTTCTAAATAAATCATGTTATAAACTTTTATACAAAAGTCTTCACTTTTAGATTCTTGTGATGATATATCAAGGAATATATCTAATATAGTGATTATATATAATAATCCTTCAATAAAATTTGAATATAATGAACTCTTTAAATTCTTTAATAAAACTACTTTTGCTTTGATAGTATTCAAAGGTAATTCTTATAATATCTTGTCAAATCTCATAATTTTATGATAAACTAATTCTTTACACTTTACCTGTAAGTATAGTTTAGAATTTATAATAAATTGATTATAATTAACATATTTAATTTACTGTATTTACTATCTGCTGTATAATATTTTTTCTATTTGATAATTAGTATAGATTTTTCACATACAACTTGTAAAGTATTTCATATATTTCTATTAAGAAACTATTCAAGATACCATATTTATAAATTATTAGGATCATGTGATAGCACTAACTATGCAGTTAGAAAAACTATATTCCATAATAAATAGTGATAAAAAGATTTTCTTGAATTTAATTGATCAGTTGGTAATGAGAACCTATATCTATTTTCAAAATTTATTATTAATTCTTTAAAATTTAATTGATTTTACTTTATTTTATCTCAAATTCTTTTAAATTATTTTTAGTAAATGACTCTCATCTACTTATTATATATATTCTACTAAACTTTGCATAAAGCATGCAAAGTTCATTGCAGGTTATATCATTTCATATATCAAAGATATTATTTAACATGAAAAGAATAATTTTTATAATATATTGATAGTTTATAACTATTATTACTTTTATTTAACTTAATTTATCAAACAACTTAAATTTAGAAAAGTGAAAAA